ATCCTGTAACCAGGCCACGGTCTAAACTTTGCGTTAACAAGACGACGGTGGTGATGGGATAGTTTCGCGACTTTATGTTACGTAAACTTATTCTGGGTTTTCTTTCGGAGAGGTCGGTAAATTCGAGCGCCTAATTATAGAGGTGCCAGAGAGAACGCCTTTAACGCCTCCACCACCCGCTTGCTTCTTCCCAAGAGAAACTCCGGCGGTGCAGTGGTGTGAAGGGCGCTGAAGGAGGCACTTGGCTCACCACGAACTAAGAAGTTTCAATTTCCGAACATAGTCGCGATACGATGGTGTTATTAATGCAATTAAGCAGGATTTCCTTCATACGATATGGTCTTATAGTGTGTGACATGTGACCGATAGAGAGTAATCAAGCATTGTCATGTCTCTAATGTAGGAGTATCAATATTAAGACTTTAAGGAAATTCTAACGTTAATCATTAAAATCATTTTTTTAATCTTGGATTTTAATCAATTTGTAATTCAAATTCAATTCGTACATTATTTGCATTTTAAACGAAAAATTAAAAAATTTAGAAATAATGTAAAAGTGCTAAAAACTGACATACATTTAATATGCGTTTTAAAAAGAAATTTTATTTATTTAGATATTTTGTTTTATGGCATTTTTCAATGTTTTTTTCATTAAATACATAAAAGTAAATGAGAATTCTAGATAATAAAAAAATATGTGCTCAAATAAATTTCAACGCAAATCATAAAAGAATGTTTGGACATTATAGCTATGTATATCGTATAGTTTGGCGAAATCACAATAATGCCAGTTTATTTTCCTTTTATATACATTAATGATTAGAGCATAAATGCGATTCTGTCCTCCATTTGCGCGCGTCTGCATTTATCTACTCTTCCACGTCTCTGCTCACTGTAATTTCAATATTATTACTATCATCTATCTGTCTTATTACATAATATCAAACAGAGATGTATAAAATATAATTTTTTCACGCATCGGCTAAGCAATAAATATAAATTACATTTTACCAATCGACATTTCAATTTACATGTGTAGACTAATAATTAATCAATAATATATATATGCGCGCGTGCATTGCGTATTTTTACAAGTTGTTTACAAGTGGCTTGTAAATTGTAATAAGCACAATAAATTGTAAAAATGTTTCATTAGTAATCATATATTCCGCTGTTTAAAAACTTTTTGACGCTTTTATTTTGTGAATTAATTGGTCTAATTTCCCAAAAATATTTCATATTTTTTATCAAAAAATATGTTTTTTATAAATTAAACCCATATACATTCCATATTTTACTTTTATAATTTTATAATTGTAATTGTCAAAATATCTACAGAATAAATGCAACTGTGCGTTTACAAAGGTAATAATTTATAATGCTAAACATGTTTCTAATTTGTGTATCTCGTAGTACGTTGATCTAATTATTATTTTGTAATAACATCAATATTATAGCAGTCAGAAGAACATCTTGTTCTTAATGATTTTCTAATGCAAACAGACAGGAAGAGAAATAAAAAAAGACTGAAAAAGAACGTAATGGGAAAAAAGTAGTAACTTCACAGAATTAATCTCACAGTGAAGAATGAATTAACTTTTTGTATAATAAAAATAATTGTACTCATGTGCTATACGCATCAGTTGTCTACCATTACACTCTCTATCAGTATAAAATTATTATGTATTATAATATATAAATAGTTTAAGCCTTGGTGTTTAGTGCAAATGCATTCTTGTATGTCGAAGCAATTAGTTTGATTTGCAAACTAACAATCTTTTTTTTATTCAAAGTAAAAAACTCAGATTCTTGCAAAGGTTCTGCAAAAAGGAGCCACGTTGGAGACTAGGACGACACCACTTGTTTTGGCGCCATTTCGCTAATACCGTCGAGCCCGTGCTCACCTCTTCGAGTTCGTGCTTCGTCTACAAAGTGGGAAAATAGTAGCTTTGACGGGGCTCTTTCAAGCCGAGCTCGTCCTATGCGGACCTGCTCTCAATTCGCACCGCAAACGCGAGAACGAGCGCGAGAACTTCCGCGAACAACAATTCGGTCTTCCACTTCGCCGTGTCGTTTCTCACTATCGAAAGAAGGTGCCGAGCAGCGAGCTATGCACAGACAATACCGGCGAGCGTGGTGACTGCCACAACTTTGGCACAAGCATCACGTGCCGTGATAAAGCAACGTGCCCGGTCGAGACGCAAGGTCGGTCGACCTACAATGCAATAGGAGTCTTTTTTGGAAGACTCAACACGTCGAATCGTATCTCGTGGATTTAGCCCTATCTGGTACGTGTAACGACTATATATGCGACGCTAAATGCTCGTTATAACACATTTATCGGCTATTCTGAAGATATTGCGAAAATTTCACATGAACTTTCATATCTATTGAAGTTAATTCTTACATCAACAAAATTTTCATTATTTATTGAAATGCAAATAATATTTGAGTTGAAGTAAATGTTGTATTAAAATCAGAACTATTCTATATAAATATATAAAATTTATTAGAATATTGCAAGTAGTCAACCACTTCATGTGTTATCACTTATTGCACATACAAAATTACCAAGTATTGCTGATGTATCGCTATGTATCGTTATATATTGCTATATATTGCTAGCAATACATTACCAATATTTGACAATATTGTGTGCTCATATAATAAGTGATAATATACGAGATGATTGATCTCGGAATATTGTTTATTTCTGAGAAAAAAAATCTAATATATATAATTCAGTTATCAAGAGTATTTATTATCTATATAATGTCAAATAAATACTTGCTACAATACTTATATATATATATATTATATATATATATATATATATACTAAAATATATAATGTCAAATAATAAAGATTTATGAATATAATTGACTTCCTATTAAACAGAAAAGCTCATCAACTTACATGTTGCGACTATAGCCAGTAGATATACAATTCAACATATATACTGTCTATAACCAGTAACTAAGGATCTCACTATGAAACTTTCAGTATTGCGATTATCTTGGGCTGTTCAATATTTAATTAATAGTCTGTTGTAGCTCCTAACGATGAGTAACAACACAACAAAGGCGTCCATTTGCTACATTTATTAAACTTTCGAAATACGATTTTAAGAATTATAAAAATCACAAATTAAAACGAAATAATGTTTTTAATAATTAAATACATTTTCGTTTTTCATATATTAATAAGACAACAGATTTTCATTGCAAAGCGTGTTCACTTTAATTTCCATTCCACAAACATTTCTACAAAATTAACTGATGTTTCATTGATTACCACACGCCGGCCTTTATAAAGATTGAATTAGAAAGAAACAGAGAGTCAGTTAAACGTCAGATATATTTCTAAACTAATATTTATGGGAATATAATACACAGCAGTTAGATTACCGAAATGTAAATTATGCCAATTTCGAAACAAACGGCTTATAGATGCGTGTTCATCATGATGCCCGGCGTGCCTGATTCATGAATGCGTCGCATTCATAATTCTAACATTGTCGATGTGTACCGCGCGTGACGAGGTCTAATGTAGCGTATAACGAAGCAAACGATCTAGCGACGCAATCGATACGACTTTGAGTAACAACTAACTCGTCGAACGCTCGCTATCAAGTAGAGAAGGTCAACGTCGACGTTTGCACGAACAATTGCGCGACGTTTACTATTAATAAGTATTATATAAAGGAAGAAAAGAATATATGTGACGTTTCGACAGAATGAGGGCCTTTGCAAACAACTTAAAGACTTGAAATAATAGTAACACGTGCGAAACGCGCGCTGTCTTTTCCACACACTTTGCGAGCTCAAGGACATCGTACGCTAATAATCAATAGGTCAGCTCGCCGTTCATTCGTTCAATTTCAACATAAATTGTCATATTCCGATAAAGTTGCAAAATATTTCCGCGGGAAGATGACACTCGTGTAAACAAAGATATTCACACATAATCAGCGATTTTTAATCGCGAATGCTAACCGTTTCCTCGTTTATTATGTCAAACTTTCCTACAATAATGTGATGCAAAACGCATCGTCGACGCCATGCAGCTCCGATAATTTTCCTGCATGCAACGTGCGACATACATTTTCATGAATGAAAAGGTGTGTGTTCGGCGAGATATCGTCGAATTTAACCGTCAACTAATTTTCTGGGAGAGAAAACAACGGTACGTTTAAAAAAAAAAAAAGATGTGGCTGCGATGTGAAAATTAGGAAAATGATAGCAATCGATATCCGCTAAACACGAAGTAACAGTGTACTGGAAAAAGTCTGGATGTATTGTGAAATTGTAGTAGTTGAGAACATCCGAATTTTCTAGTTGAATCGATTATAATTTTTTTTAATAGTTGAGATAACCAGAATTCTGATTGATGCGATCAGAATTTTCTGGTTCGTTCATTTTCAACCACAAAATTTCTCTCAGTATAACATTACATCAGTATTATAATTTCCCACTCAACAATGTAAATGTAATATACATACACACACGTAACAGTTAGGTATATTGTTGAGGAATTTATAACATTGATGTTAGTGTAACTGTACGTTAATATATGTTTAGAGGGAATATATCTTGATTTTCTTCTTCCAACCCTCAATGTTCCTGCAGATTCACAATGATTTGCGATTGATGCAAATTTGGAAATTCATGTGTAACGGAGCGAATATACGGTATGCCACTTTGAAGTCACATTAGACCGCTAGCGTGAGCTAAACGCTGTTAAATGTCACGTGTCACGTAGGAAACCGTTGGACGAACATAGGGAATGCACGATGTAAAAGCCATGTCGCACATTAATAGAACGATATGGAATGTAGGAATTTGGATACGCTGAATAACTCGAAAACGCTTGCACTTCTCTCGCTGCACATGTTTAGCCAAACAGCTGTCCGCAGTTACGCTTATCGAATCGACTCGACGACTTCAACCACGTTTACTGTAATCCCCAAAACAATATAGAATCGCTAATAGCCTACCTACCCAATAGTCATAATCCAAAGCTGTTTTTCACTGGTAATCAACGAGCCTTCCCAGAGTACCGTCGCCTCCTTCGTGAATTTCTCCTTTCAGGATGAATTTCTCCTTTCAGCTCTCACTAGACGACGTATCAACGGCACATTGGCACGTTACAAATCATGTGATCACGTTTAGATGGGAATTCCAGCTCTTAATCCTCCACGATGATTATCTTGCGGATCAATCGATACGTTACTCGATTACTATCAGGATTATCGGAGCACCGTCGTGTCCTTCGCAGGGAGGATGACTGCGCAAATAGAACGATATGAACAACGATCGCAATGACAAACCAATATAGATACAGTTCGTCTTCGAATAATAATCTCTTCGTTGAATCGAAAACGAGTCGAACACAAAAGAAATTTGACTAATGGATCACCCGAAGAACAGAGCCGTGTTCTTCGTTGAACGATGATAGAACGAAGGTACAATAACACAAGTCAGTTGTGCACAGAGGACTTTATGTACCCTTCGGCGATTCTCCTATTTATCGTGGAACGACCGAGACATTCGAACAGTTGTGCTTTTCATCAAGACTTCAACGCGACGCAGGTCAATGAGTATTCTTCGCGATACCCTCGGATAATTCTCGCAGCTACGCGCGTGAACGATTTCGGAGTAATCGCGAGCACTTGTTTGGAGTGAGGGGGGGAGGGGGTCAACCGGAAGAGGGGAGGACACACTTGTCGTGAAACGCACCGGGGACTGCCCTTCGTGATCACGTCCGTCGACGCGAACAGGTGGGCACACGCTCGACAAGTCACGTCGCGCGCGGAACACGCGAATCTTCGCGAGTCCCGTGATACGGAAGTAGAACAGAATACGCACGCGTCGTCGCGACGGCTTGACGTCGACTGAGGTGGCTCGTCGTCGCCGCCGCCGCTGCTGCTACCACCACCACCACCTCCGCCTCCGCCGCCGCGACGTTGCCCCTCCAAAACGCAGAAGCGCCACTGACTCGCGCGACGCCTACACCCTCACCGGGTTGATATTTTATTCCCCTGACGTCTCTTCCAGGCCGCGAAAGCTCCGATACCGCGTCATTCGGTGTCGCTGCGACCACGAGGGTAGACGTCGCGATGCGATTCGACTAATATTGTTTATGATGATAATGAATAAAAAAGAAATAATTTAACATAAAGCAATATTACATATCTCATCCTATTCTATTTTTAAGATGTCTATTTTTAAAGATGCATATAATAAATGAAAATATTCTCTTGTAGATAATAATTGACTCAAACTTATAAGTTTTTTTAGTAGTTTGTAAATGGAACTGAGATATTCTATTATGCGTTTAATATTTAAATTTTAATATTCAAAAAGTGTATTATATATCAAATATAGACGATTAAAAATTTTATCCACAAATGTTTACTTCTAACTTTACACTCGCGGCATATCTTCGGTTCTACAAAGCGCCTTGTTCGTATAGAAATTTAATGTAATGTGCTCAATATTTGAATTCGTTATTATTTCGTTGATATACTAAAGTTGATCAAAATTGTAGTCGAAATGTTTGTAACAATTATTGGTAATAATATACATAAATGTTACATCCTATCATCCAATGTCGGCTTACACTGGCTTGCATTTTTTTCTTACTTTGATTTATTATAATAATTTCTAATCTCCAATTTCTAAATGGCTGTGAAACTTTTTACATTACTTTCAAACATACAGTACAAAAAATCTATAATTTTTAAATAATTCTTCATTTTATTAAAAAATACGTGTAAAATACTCTTAAGACGTCTTTTAAATATTTTTAAGACATCTTACATCTCATTTTTAGATTTTTGTATTATATGAGATATTCAACTTTTATGTATATTTTTTAAAGCATACATACACAGATATAAATATTATTTCTCTCTCACATTATAATTATACCAATTTAATTATTTCAATAACTAATATTGTTGTCATGGCACTAATACTGTATTATATAATAACAAATGCATCTAAAACTTTTAATTGCGATAATTATTTACAGATGACACGTTATATATCTTTCTTTATTTTATAAATAATAAATATTTTATTACGTAATATAACAGTATCATATGAGACTGCTACGCGTTTATATGAATATGATAATACGGTTATAAATACGGATGCGATATTCCTACAAGAGTCAGAACGATATTCGTGCTATCATCGCGAATGCAAACGAGTTACGAGAAATGAGACGGAGTAAATGAAACCACTGCATCGTGCGGGAAGCGACGTTAGCGTTCTCGGGATGGAAGCCGCATGCTCGTCGCTTAGCTCCGCTACCGCATCATTCGTCGTCGTTACCGCCCGGAGGAAAAACGCTGACGCCACCAAACGTAGCAACATGTCGCGGTGACTCCGAACAGCAAAAGAATCCCGTGTATCCGTTCTCTCGACAGTTCTCAACCACGTTTCGCGAATGGTTCGCTTGCCGGCGCGGATAATTTCTGTCGCGACGAAAGAACGTCCAGTCACTTTGCATTTTATGACACAACTTTGTAACGAGGATGTGCGACAGCAATCGGACAAGAGGCCGTAACAAGATATAACTGCGCAGGACGATTGTCCGTATCCGCGAGTATCTTATCCGTATCCGCGAGTTGCTGGAGATGGTTACGTGATAACTGGATGTGGACCACCGAGAGAGATTACAAAGAACCGTAATTATGCGGTAGGCGGTTTTTGGTAGCGCGCACGAGGAGTGAGAGCGTTCCATTATGACGTTAGTATGCATCCACGAATGGTCGCCACTTGGCCATTTGTCACGACTGTCGCAAGTTCGCCCAGTTTAATGCATCCGCGCCCTCGAGCCGTTCCCGCTTTCACCTGGCGTCGCCTTTGCCGCAATTTTGGAGTGGCAACGCCGTTAACAGGCGGCGTTTCCTTGGGCGCACAAAGCAACAGCAGTCGCGTTCTGAGGTTCGCGGCCGAGCTTGACTGATGCCGAGTTCCGGGTTTGGCTGCAAAAGACGTCGCCGATGCCGTTCAAGCAAGAGCGATCGATTCGTCTCTTCGATGTTAATGCTTAAAATGAGAAATAGATTAGCTCAAAGTCTTAAATATTTTTTTTTAAAGATCTATCATATTAAAAACGAATTATTAATGTTGCGTGTAAGTACATGTGTATGTATGTGTAAAAGAAATATCTTTCAGAGTTCAGTTAAATACATTAAGGATGTGCATTACACGTATTCTTTTAAAAATTGGAATTTTTGAACAAAAATTATTAAAAAACTACAATTTTTTTTCTATACTGTAATTATACTTGAAAGTAACACGAAAAATTTGGCGGTCTTTTATAATCTGTAACAAAAATTATTTCAATAGAAATATATTTTTTTTAAAATCCTTTAAAATAATTAGGATAATAAAAATAATTGAAAGAGAAAATTTTCATTTAAACTATAAAGCTGTAAAATATATATT